TGCTCTTTGAGACCATTATTTTTCAGGAGTTTATGTAAGTCCTTACATGTCTAAGAATGTCTCTTTCTTGACCTATATATGAGCGATGCTATAACTATGTACAGAATTCTTTAGGATCTTGTTGATTACCCAAATCTGACCTGTGTTGATTCATGGTGAAGTATATGATTGTGTAAAGTGGAGCCCTGGTGAACCCGGGAGTCTCTGTGGGGAAGCTCTTCCTCTCCAACTGAAAACGAGTTCCTTCAAACTTGAGCAAGAAAGTTTTTAGTTTAAGTGTTCCAGAGTCCTCGCATCGATTTTAGCGCTTTGACTCTGACAGTTTTTCCTTTTCTTCACATCAGAGAAACTTTTCTGTGCTTTCTTCTTGTTTGTTTTTATTTTATGTTTTGATTATAGAAGTAGAAAATAATAGCCAGACATGGTGGTATACACCTTTAATCCCAACCCTCAGGTCTCTCAGAGGCAGGCAAATTTCTGAGTTTAAGGCCAGCCTGATGTACGTAGCAAATTCCAGGCCATCCTGTCTCAAAAACAAGAGAGGGAGTGAGGGGGAGAGAATAGTGGGTTATTAAATATTTATCTCATTTTAAATTATGTGGATGTGTATGCATGTGTACACCTGAGTGCAGGTGTCCTAAGAGGCCAGAGGTATCCGATCTCCTGGAGCTAGAGTTAGAGGAGGCTGTGAGCTGCTAGACATGAATTTGGGTCCTCTGCAAGATCAGTCTGAACTCCAAAGTGCAGAGTCATCTCTCTAACCCCTATAAAAGTATTTAAATGCAGTTTCAAGTAGAAACTTTAAATTAAAATATTTAAAAACTCCATTGGTATTTGACTTATAATGAGCTCAATAAGTGCATGGTTTCTTGGTTGAGCCCTCCTCTGTGTCCTATTCCTCTTCCTCCTCTTCTACCTATCCTTCCTCTCCTTCCTCTTCTTTCTTCCCCCTTGCCATTTTTCTTCATCTTTGCAGTGCTGGGGATTGAACCCATGGCCTCACACAAGCTGAGTGAAGGTTCCATGCTGAGTGGCACCCACTCTCAATCAGTGCATATCGACAGACACAGGGTGCCCGATTCTTTCCCTCCTTTTCCTCATTCTCTACGTCTCCCTGCTGTACAAACCCACTGCTCAGGTTCTCCCACTTTTCATTTTCCTTGGAAAGCCTCAAACTTGGTTTCCTACTCATTCGTTATCCTGTTGTACGTACACATCTTGCCTTTTAAAATTTGCTAATAGTGGACTTTCACATTAAAAACAACTTTTCTAATTTAGGAACCATAGTGTTTTCTTTCATTTCCTTCTCTAGTTACTCTCTTTTGGTGTGTCCGTGGCAGGGGGAGGGATCTGTTCCATTCCTTATATTCACTCTGTTGTTGCCATCCTCTGAAGTGTGTCCCTCTGGTGTCCTTGTTGTGTGGCCATGCTCTGGTGAACCAATGACACCCCTGGATGCAGAGTGATGACCTTTCCTGAGGCTAGGACCTGGCTCCTAAATTCTCACTTAGAAAGTTATCTTTGTCCAGACCCCTGAACGTGGATACCAATGAGGAGGCCTCTGCACTCTATGGGCCCCCTGGTAGTGGATCAGTAATTTTCCCTGCTGTAAGAAGGGACTTTGAGAGCCCATCCCACCTGAAGGGATACTTTCGGTCAGGACACATGGGGGAGGGCCCAGGATGATGTGGTGGACTTTGGAGAGCCCCCATGGAGGGCCCTACCCTCCCTGGGGAGTGGAAGGAGGATGGGGTAGGGGTGGTTGGGGGAGGGGAGGGAGAGGGGATTGACATGTGAAGCAAGCTTGTTTCTAATTTGAACTAATAAAAAAATAAATATAAAAAAAGAAAGTTATCGTTGAGTTCTCAGGATGCCCTGTAGCTAATCCCGCTCCCTGGAGGAGGCCCCTCTTGAAGAAAGGAGTAAGTTCTCCTGCCAACATCAAGCCTTTTGGCAGGACCGCATGGGAGGCCTTCTTGGTCCCTCCAGCCTCCTGGTAACAGCCAGCCCCAGCAGCCGATTGGAAGACCTTGGCCCCAAAAGGACTCCCAGGCCAGAGCTACCCTACTAGTGGTCCCCAAATTCCTGACCCACTAATTAGCAGAAGCCAGTGTTTGCTATTGTTTAGCTCACCAAGTACTGGGGTCAAAGTGAACACAGACAGTGTCTTCTCAGGCAAACTCACCATTTGAGTAATTATCACTTTCCCTGCTTCCACTCCTGCCACGGACACTTTCACAGGTTCTGAAAGAGACAGCAAAGCTTCAGATTTCCTATTCCTTGGAGAGGGAGGGAGAGAAGGGGCTCCCATGGCTTCCATCACCCACCCACGGGCGGTGAGCAAAGTGTCCAGGTGAGCAAAGGCTCTTATGGCTTACAAAGCCTGCTTCTGAGTGCCTTGTCACAGAGTGGAAAGTCTTTCCTGTGGGAATGTATTGTAGGTAATTACCAATACGGAGTCAGGTAGAAATATAAGGGCATTTAATAGGGAAAAGCCTTACTTACAGGGCGAACCAGCCAGCCGGGGGTAGTCTGTACAGCAAGAAGCAAAAAGAAACAGAAACCGAAAACGCACTCCCCCTAGTCCCTCTGACCACGCACTCACAAGCCCTCAGGTACTCCTGTAGCCAGCCCCTAAGAAGGCGTGGCTACAGCTTCCCCTACAGGAATGGGGTATCTGAATGACATGCAAGCAGGGAGCTGTCAAAGCACAAGAGTTCCCTGGAATCCCGACAGTGCCCCCCATTGCTGATGGTCCATTTCAGCCACTTCAGTCCCTGCTTGGCACCTACACCAACCAGCCAGAAGTGTGAAGACTCCAAAGTTTCCTCTTTCATTGAGTCCATCCAGTTCATCGATGAACTGGCTAAAGATGTGCCCAGTCCTCGGGGCTACTGTTGAACACTTAGGAAAACTCAGAGAAAAGGCTTGATATCCTTTGTGTAGTCACACCCTCTCTCAGACTTTTTTACCTACTAATGTGGAACCTGGCTCCCTCGGGCGTCACCATTACTCCCCTGGACTCAGTTGCTCCATCTGAGTAACTGTTAAGTGGACAGTGTGAAGCAACACAGTTCACACCCACTCTCTCTAGTCTTTACATTCAGAATGTGAGGATTCCAGAGGAGGGTTACAAGATGGGGGGGGGGGTTGTCCCTGTCGACAACGGAGTCCACACAGCAAAAGGCATATATTGGAGGGGAGCAACTTGAGAACCAAAGAACACTATCCAGAGGTCAGGTGTGGAAGGTCACCCAGAGATAGCACCTGGCTCAATAGATAATTGGGGTGGGGGCAGGTATGTCTCCAGGAGCTGTGGTCTTACAGATGTGGAATCTGGCCACAGGCTGAGGCCCAGCAGGAGCCATGGCCAACTATAGGACAGGGGACACTTCATTGTTCTGCTGTGGAAAGTCACAGACAGATAAGGCTAGCACTAGTATAGAGGGAAGCAGGAATCCGTAGTGAGCCGTGGGTACAGGAGCCTAGAAAACATTCTGGAAGGTGTGCTCTCCTCAAGTGAGGCCTTGGAATCAAGTTAGGGTCACCACTGGACTCTCCCTGGATGCTGACTACTCAGTTTCAAGAGTTTGAGAATATTCTAGCCTAGCCACAGCTCTGTTAGCTCCAGAAGATGTACTGTTTTTCCCAGATAAGGAAGACAGTCTGCTTTGTCCCAGTCTGACTCCATCTCACCCTGGGTGGGATGTTTATGTGACAGCTAGTGCAAGGTGGACAGTTTGTGGCTGAACCAAGACAAGGGAATGGGAACTAAAGACTGACTTTTCTAAAAGTGAATCCCTCCTGGGCGTCCTCCTCCAGTTCTCACCTAAAACTAGTCCAGTGCCCAGGAGACCAGGGTAATGGCTCCTGGATGGAGAAGGGCAGTCTGCTAAAGAAGACAGTCACCTTCCACATCAGGCTTTCCCATAGCCCTTGGTCTTCCTCCCACACTGATTCCTGGTCCTTCTGAGTTCTTCCATGTTATTCCAGCAGCACCATCTCTGGAGGATCCCTGTGTGCCCAGAGCACTCCCTGGCCATGTGATTTATCTGCTCCAAAGGAGGAGCAAGATGCTTTCCCAGGGTGGGGGAATGACTGCCCTAGATCCTCTCTTATGGAGAACCCTATTCTACCACCATCTCCCTTTTAAAGGATCTCCTATACTCTTTAAGTCACAGCCTTTCCACGTAGTGTCCAATTCTCCCTCCCTTGACAATAGGAAGATTCTGATAGGTTGTGGAAAGGGACTAGGCTTTGTGATTGGTTAGTGAGTACTATTTTCTGCCCTGTGGTCCAGAGAAAGGGAATATACTTGGAAAGGGAGAGGAAGACATGGAGGTATTGAGCTGGGACTGCCCCTGTTGAGCTCTTAGGGTCCCTCTGAGCTGTAGCCTGGGTCTAGCTGAGTGACAGGAAATCCTTGATCCTTGGCACAGATCTCCCACCCATGGGATGTTGGGAGGTTAGTGGGGCATGATGGAGGATGGGAAGAAATAAGGAGGTGCATTGAACTATTGGGGCACCCAGGGCGGGCCACCCTCAGTGCCACCCTTTCCCAGCACTTTCACTGTGGGTCCACAGCCTGTCAGTCAGTAGCTGAGTCACAGACGCCCTGGGCTAGGGGCTGTCTGCCAGAAGCCTGACTCACTATGGGTGACTGGTTTGGCTAACCCGTGCCTTTCCCTGTCACAACACGCCAGGGGTCTGTTGGAGCTCCCTCCTGGGGCACCCCTCTCCTAGAAGCACCTCCTGCTGGGACACCCCTCTCCCAAAATCACCCCCTTCTGGAGCTACCTGGTCTTTAGCGCCAACCCATTCTACAGCAAGCTTCTTCCTGTTGCCAGTATGTGCAAGACCTGTGCAGTTATAGAGAGAATTCAGTCCCTTGCAGTTGCCTGGATGTACACGAGACCCTCCCCTACCCATGCAGCTATGCACCCCACCCTCTTCAACTCCTTAGGAAGATAAATCCACACTCTGGTCTGTAGTGGTTCAAAGAGGAATTTTCCCAGAACCCAGCTCAGTACCACCATTGGTCATGCAGTGACGTTTTCTATTAATAAACAGCACACACTTTCAGGCTAAGGAACTAACATGCCAGTCTGGGAGCTGTGGCCTTAGTGAGGCCTGGGGCCAGAAGACTGAAAAGCAGATGCTGAGCCTCCACCTCCAAGGTAGGCATCACCCTGTCCCTCAGAGGTGGGGCCCTCAACCATGGGAGTGGCACCAAGAGCCATAGAGATCACTTCCTGGGCCCCAGCCTTCCCACACCCTGGTGCCATCATTTCTAAGCACTGTTCAAAGCCAGCACAGAGCCAGCCCTGACCCCCAGGTCTTTTGTCAGGCCTCCCCACCCTATATTCATGCTGCCATCGGCCCCTCAGGACACACCTTATGCTTAGTCCTTTGGTTGCAGCCCACACATGCCCTGACTTTTCTCTGCACTCACATGGCACCTCCCAGCCTCCCAGGCATGGCTCCTTGCTTGCCATGCTAAGGCACTGCAAGAGGCAAGATCACCCCATGCCCAGGGGCCACCAAAAAGCCACAGTGGAGAATGCTGACACAGATTACCCCCCCCCACCACCCCACTGCCATCAACCATCTCAGAGCCCTGTCTCTGAGGCATTTCTCTGCTGCCCATTCCTCAGGATGATCAAGGGAAGGCCATGCCCAGTGGCTTCCTCCCAAACCCGGAGAATATGCCAATGCCTCAGGCCCACCTGAAGCCAGTCCACTGCCAGTCTATATGGTCTCCAAGCCAGGGGAGACCTCCTCACTCTTCCTAATCCCAGATAATACCCCCAAGAGAGTCTACAGCGAAGGAATCTTACCTTCCAGATGATCCTGGGCATGTGGTAATATCTTGCTTGTACAAATAAAGCTTGTCTCTGGGGGTTCAGAGACTGGAGCTTGCCACCAGCTAACCATAGAGGTCTGGAGGTCTGTATGGACAGACAGGAAGTGAAGTAGTTGGGCAGAAGCAGGATATAAACAGGGAGGAACAGGAAATCACTCTCTTGTCTGCTGAGACACTAAGGAGGTAAGGTGGCCTGTGGCTTGCTCCTTCTCTCTGATCTCTCAGCATTTCCCTCTATCTGACTCTGGCTTTTTATTCTCTAGACCAATTAAGAACTCCATTTACATTTTGGCGTCCAACATGTGACCTGGCACTCAGAGCCATCTACAAAAAGGGACATTAGAGCCAAGAACACAGGAAAATGAAGAATAAAAACCGATCCCAAGGAGTAGGGGGCTAATGCTGATAGCAGGCTGAGGACCTGAAGTTAAATCCTCAGAGTCCAAATTTTTAAAAGGCTTATATTCTCAGAGCTGGAAAGACAGAGACAGGAAGATTCTTGATACTTGATGACCAGCCAGCCCTGCCTTTTGGGGGAGTTCCAGGCCAGTAAGAGACACGTCAAAAAACAATGTCCCACTAGAGAAGTGGCTCAGCCTCTAAGAAGGCTTGCTGCTCTTGCAGAGGACTTAAGTTTGGTTCCCAGCACTCCCATCAAGAGGCTCACAACTGTCCATAACTTCAGCTTCATGGGGTCTGGTGATCTTTTCTGGCCTCCATTGGTGCTTGCACACACATGTACAACACACACATATACACATAAGTAAAAATAAAATGTCTAAAAAACAAAGAAGTGAGTAGGGCATAAAGGTCTTTAATCGCAGCACTTTGAAAGCAGAGGTAGACTAGTCTCTGTGAGTTCAAGGCCAGCCCTGTATACATAGCAAGTTCCAGGTCAGCCAGCGATAGATAGTGAGACATTCTCTTAAAAAATAAAAAAAAAAAAATGAGGTGGATGGTTCCCAAGGAGCTATACATGAGGATGACCTCTGGTCTCTGCATGCACATGTAACTGCATACATGTGCGCCTACACACACGTGTGCACACTATCTCTCACTATTCTGCTGTTTGACCCAAACCTAGAACTCTGCTAAATCTCCTCAGGAACCCCTTAAGGACCTGTGGACGCCCAGAACTCACCCTTTCAGGCAGGAATATGCACAAAACAAGGCCTCCCAAAGCTACCCTAGAACCCAAGTTGACACCCCCTTTTCTACAAAGGCTGTGTGGATGAGACTCAACCTCCAACATTCACTGTCACTCAGCTCTGCCTCTGCCACAATACTGGCTCTCCCAGGGGTACTGCTCTTGGGACAGGAGCTCTATGCACCCCTGAGTCTGATGCCAACCAGGTTTTGGAGATGGCCAGAAATGCCTGAGGACTGTGAAAGCTGTTGAACTCTCAAAGCTGTCTGCCAACCACAGCACAGGTCTCTCAGACAGAGTAGGGGTCCTCCTAGAGACAACTTCAGGCTAAATCACTTCTTGACCCTTCTTTTTAAAGCTGTGTTCATGTGGTGTGTGTGTGTGTGTGTGTGTGTGTGTGTGTGTGTGTGTGTGTGTGTGTTCATTCATGCTGTGTGTATGCGTGCCTGCGTTTGTGATGCAACCAGCCTATGGTCACACGTACAAAGACAAATGTAGGCCTGGGGTGTGGTATTTGTTCCAGCTTCTTCAAGCATGGACCTTGTTGTAATTTATAAGTAAACAAAGACAATAGCCACAAAGCATTGTCGGAATCTAAAAGAGGTGACGTCACCATGGGGGCCCTTGCGTGGGAACAGTGGCCTTGCTCTTCACACAGTTGTACACACCCTGGGTGAATCCTTAGAAATATACTTCATTTCACACATATGGAGGTCAGAGAGATGGCTCAGTAGGTAAAAATACTTGCCACCAAGACTCATGACCTGAATTCCATCTGTAGGACTCACGTGGTGAAAGGAAATAATTGAGTCTTGCAAATTGTCTTCTGACTTCCAGGTGTATACTCACAAAATGCAAATTAAATGAATTTGAAATCAATCTCTCTCTCTCTCTCTCTCTCTCTCTCTCTCTCTCTCTCTGTGTGTGTGTGTGTGTGTGTGTGTTAAAGCTTCAATTCCCCAGTACTACCAAAAATACTCTACATGTACATATAAATAATAAACGTATGTGTGTACATGTACCTCTTGTTTACCTATAGTCTCCATGGTTCAGCCTTCTTGAGATCCTCCACCCTGCTCTCACAGCAGCACTGGGAGTTGCTTATAGCACTGCTCCACAGTTTCAAAGAGAATCCCAAGAAACCTGGGAAGTGTCCTGGTCTCCCAGAGTGCACACCTGTGCAACACCCTCCTACCCCAGGTGTGAAAGGGACCAGAGATGGAAGCCACTCTGGTGATGAGGAGCTGTTCTCAGCAATATAAAGGGAAGTAAGGTCCCTGACCTGCTGGATTTAAGTGTTGGGGTGGAGAAGGGGGAGAAGGGAGGAAGAGAGGAAGAAGGGAGGAATGAAGCCTGTACTTGCTCTCTCTCCACCTCCTCCTCCACCCCTCCCCTGCCCTTTCCCTCCCTCCCTCCCTCCCTCCCTCCCTTCCTCTCTTCCACTCTCTCCCTCTTTTCAAGACTTATCAAACTGAGCATACTGGCTGTTTCTCACCTCCCTTGCTCACTTCACTCTGCTGCCCCTGAGGCCCTGGGCAGCCAGGCCCAGCCAAGGCCAGGGCAGTTTGGGAAAAGTGCTGGGCTAAGGCTGATGTGCACCCTCCAGGTTCTCTCCAAACTGGTGACCCGGTCCAGAGCAACAGTTTCCCTGTTTGCTGTCCAGTGCCTGTGTTCTCCTTCCAGGCCTAGGGATCCCAGGTGGTAGCTGCCTAGGAAAAGCTAGGGGGGGTGGGTGCAGCTAGCGTCACTGTCTCCCACCCTGCCCCCAGTACCATGTGGAAAAAACAGGGACTGAGGTGATGAGGGGACCGGCTCCCCACCTGCCTCTTTGCCAGCCCAAGGCAGGGTGGTCGGGCCAAAAGTACCCTTGGGGTGTCCTTCCATTCCCTTTGCTGTCACCAGGATGGATAGACTTTATACCCTGACAAACTGCTGCCTCCTGGCAAGTTTCCTGAGATGCCAGATTCCTGCACTGCTGCTACTGCAGCTGAGCCTGGGTCTGTGGAAGGCAATTGCAGGGAGCAGTGTCCATTGAGCAGGGCACCCACCCCTCTACCACCTTCTCTTCATTCCCCTGTGGTCTTTGGAGGGTCACCAACACTGCAGGATTCTGCTTTTATGGAAAAAAGGGTTCCCCTGCCCTTTTCACACTGATGAAGGTGGAAGGTTGTGGATGAGCAAACTCAGGGATGGGAAGTGTGGCTACTGCACTCACCACACAGAAGAATAGGTGATCAGGGTCTGAGACTATCTTGCCCTAGTGTCACTATCAGTTGCCTAGGTGGCCTGTCTTTATGATCTAGACAAATTAGGCCCTGCATGCCTGGGCCTGGGCAGAGCCTTTGTCAGACTATTAGAAAGAACTAAGATGACTGCACAGTGATTTTTGTCAGGCCAGCCTGGCAGTGGCCACCCCAGGATATGAGAAGAAGACCAGGTGTGACACTAATAGAACTTCCTGGCTCCTAGTATCCCTCACCACATCCCTAGTCCTTAGAACCCCCGTGGACACTGCTTGTTGCAGCCCTGTGGGTGGGCTGTGCCTTTCCCCAGTGCCCCCAGCCTCGAAGGTCTCTGGAACAGTCCTGCTGTGGAATAGCTTCGAAAATGGAATATTTCAGCTATCAAAGTGGCTCCCAGACCACTGTAGTCCCATGGCATGCTGATCCCTATGACCATCCTGGGGCTTAAGATTTGCAGTACAGGAACCCGGTTAATTTTGTTCACTGCATTTTCCAAGCATACGTGGTTGTGGATGTACTTGATCCCATGATAGCCATGAAACAGATTTGGAAAATCACCTGCCCAGGCAAGAGGCTGAAGTCAAACAGGGACCCCACTCCTGTACCTGCCATGGCTGTGGATTTCAGCCATCTTTGTTCAAACTGATGGATAGGCCTTGGGTCATTGGTTCTAGTGCATACCTTGTCCGAGGTGCCAGTTCCACCATCAGGCCCTGGACCTTGCCACAGCCTTTTCTGTGTGAGGGAATGTGGGGAAGAACTCCACAACACATTCTAGAACTTCCTGCCAGGTTGGTTTGGGCATTGCTGATGAGGTATGGATAACCCCGGGAGCCTTCTAATAAGTCTGAAGGGCAAGAGACCAGACAGCCAACAGACACAGGGTGAGTCCCCACAGTTTATTATGGAAGCCAATAAAAGAGCCACATTGAGTATTTCACAAAACGCATGACATTCGTTGTTGTGATATGCAACATGGAATATTATATACACATCAAAACCACACGACAGCCAAAACACACACACGGCACCAGCTCATACCAAAACAAAACACACAAGTGCTTTCTCAATATTAAAAACAACTGTGATAAAAACATATTAATATTTTGAACCATGTTTACAATAAAGAACAATTCATATTTTACTAAATAACAAATATTTAACAGCAAAAACTTTATACTAAATATCTATTTTGAATTATAACAAAAATAGTACTTATAATAGTTTATAAAGACAGACACAAAATTATAACATTTATGAAAAAAAAAGTTTTGTGTATAAAATAAAAGAAATCTGGGCAGGATCAAGAAATGGTTGCCCAGAACGCACACGCCAGCGCCTAACTTTGAAAGTGCTTCAATCTGCAAGCCCGTGTCAGGGAGTTTTGTGGGGTTTAATTTTTTTACTGTCAAGTTACAATAGTTAGGAATGTGAGAGTACATCACCCATTAATGCTACCACAATGAAACACACGAACACAGAGCAGACACATCTACAGAGGTGAGAAAGCTGTCACCCCACAGGCGCCTGGGCTAGGCCCCTTTGCCTGTTACCTTTGAGACCCATCCAGGCAGATAGTCTTTTCTTTCTCCCACCCTCAAAGGGATCCCCTTCAGCTTTTCCTTCTCCACAGCTCCAGGGCTGGCCCCTCATAAGGGAAGGCCCTGAAGCCTGTTGGGCCCTCCAGGCCTCCTGCCCCTCACCAAGGCCAGAGTCACTACATGCCACATCTTCAGTCTGAAACAGATGGTTGCAGGCAAGGAGTGTTAGCGTGCAGGAAATGAACCTTGCAGACACTGAAGGTTGTGGGGCAGCATGCACCTATTCCGTAAGCCTTGAAGAAACTTTACATGGCTTGGTCTGTTTCAGAACTGGGAAAGGGAATCCAGGAATACACTTATTTTTAATTTCACATTCATTTTGCTGCTAAAACCTATTCTAATGCTTTTATTTTGGTTCTGTCAGGAAAATGCAGGAGACCAGCTTACAGAGGACACCCTCCTGTGTGGCTGAACTTCCAAGACAGTGACCATCTAGGGTCAGGTTGATGTGGGCTGTCATTCTGTGTTTTTGTGAAGAGGATCCATCGCCTCCCTAACATGAAAAAGCAATGGAGGGAAAACAAAGGCAAACGGGAATCTGAAAACAGACAAAATTGCCTCCTACGGACTCGCCAGAGCCCCACACCCTTCCCAGGAGGGGTCCCAAGTGGTCAGCCCTCAAAATGCCAGAGGCAGGAGCCCCTCCTCTTCCACCCAGCCTGCCCCGCTGGCCCTTCTGTACCTGAACAACTTTCTGACAAATCTCACTTATATCTGTCCTTTCCCCTTCCTCCTCTCCTTCTCCACAGCTTTCTAGCTGCAGCCTCCCCCTCCCTCTCAGTGTCTCCCGACCCCACAGGGCCTGAGGCATCTCAGAGGGAGGGCTCTCTCTACCTTGCCTCTCTGCTTTCTTCTCTACCCCACACCCTGAGCTGGGCTTAGCAGAGAGTGGCTGGGGGGGGGGGGGGGGGACACAAAGCTGGGCTGGAAGGGAGGGTATCCTTACACATCCTCACTAGGGGAGTGGCTGGCACTGGGGCAGGCAGTGAGCGAACAGGAAGTGGTGGGCCCCAGATGCACAAGCCCAGGGCTTTGACAGATGGGAGGAGATGATAAAAACACCTGGCAGAGATGCTGGGTGTCTGACTCCAAGGAGGTGAAACTGAACATTTGCCTGGAGCTGAAGAGGGCTGTTAACCCTCACCAGGGAGCTGGGTTAGACCAGAGACCTGTCTTCTTGCCTCATGTAAGCCCTGAAAAGGATAGCTAGGACAGAAGCTGGCAGGTGTGTGGGGACTTGTGCTCCAGACCTCAGTGTAGCCAAGGTCAGTGAATAAATATGGGCTAGGGGGCAGGGGTGGGCAGCTGGGAGTCCAGCTATAGCCATGGGGGAGGAGTGCCAGTATGCCTGCCCAGGGCCACCAAGGAAGATGCTGGGGATTAAGCCTATAGGCTCCTGTACCCCAAGGTCAGAAGAGAGAACAAATAGCAGCAATAGGTAATTTCCAATGTCCAAACTGGTTAGGCTGGTACAGGGCACCCTCAAGGGTGGTGGCAGTTCCTGCCCTGCCCAGGTTGGCTTAGATGAGAATCCCCAAGACGCTGTTCTGGACACCATTTGAGCAGTGGCAGGAGGTGGGGGCGGGGTGCAGGGTGCCAAAGCATGCTCCCTCTTTTCTTCCCTCCTGCCTTCACCACCATCAAACCACGAACAAAAAGACAAGGGGGTGAGGGGAGGGAGCGTTCAGAAGGTAATTACCACATTCTGCAGCTCAGCCAACTGGCACTAACACTGTCATGGGCACACAGAGCCCTGTCCTGGCCCTGGCCCTGGAGAAGCTAGGGGGCAGTGGAGATCCAAGAGAAGGGGAGTCAGGAGAGGGCAGGGCCCTTTTGTATTTGGGGAGGGGTTGCTGGAGAAGAGGCTAGAGGACTACATAGGGGGGCTGCTGGCCTCCGATCCAGTCCCTCCCCACCCCACAGGTTTCTGTCTCTGTCCCCCACCCCTCCACTGGGCTGGGCTGAGACCAGAATGAGGCTACACTGTAGCACTCAGCATGGCCTCTGTCTCAGGCAAAATCTCATTCTGATTGGAGTCCAAACCAAAGAACTTGACACTGAGGCCATCCACAGGGTGCAAGACAGGGACTAGTGTGATGCGAGGGAAGGTCCGGGTGGCCAGCTCGAAGCGGCTGGGGGGGGGCGGG